TCGGCCTCTCCCGGCGGGGTCAGCGGGAAGCGCTGCGTCCCTCATGCGCAGGAAACCGGTGATGATTGAGGCGGCTGCAACAGCTGCGCCTTCCCCCGCCACGATACGGCGAGGCTCCCTCAGGGCCGGTGCCGCTTTCCCCCGGCGCTGAGCGGCTGCGGCGGAAGGAACGAGCCAGGTGAGGCTGCGGGAACGGCTCTTCCCCCTCAGCCACGCGGCCGGGGCCGGCCCTGGGGCTCTGTGGGCTCCGGGAGCTGCCACGTGCGCCATAATTCGGGCATATCATGGAATGCGCTACAAACAAAATAATGATACATAAATATAAACTATTACATATATTATTAATATCTAATATGGTAATATATTTGTATGTTATTAACTGAATATATATATATTTTTAAATACGTAGAGCTGTAATATAAAGCATACACAGCTGTGTATATTCTAATATACCCCATTGAAGAAAGGAAGAAAATTAAGGGCTTTAAGATTTTTCAGGAAAATGTTTTCAAATATTTCAGTAGCTAACATGAATCTTTAGTAGATCCCCTTCTTGTTGTAATTCTTTGGTTTTCAGTTATATGGCGCGTTTCACAGAAAATTAAGGTTAGGTGGTTATTAACAGCATTTTTCCTTTATTTTTCTTTCTTCAGCCTGTCAGTGGACAAAAAATGAACCAGCCAAGATGGTGTGACTTTAAAAATAAAGGGTAATCCTTCAGAAAAAGGCTGCTTAAGCAAGCTTCAGACACCTCTAACTGTAAGTGGAGTGGTACATTTGGTAGCCCAACATGCAGCAAATACCTTTGTAGCAGTGCTTTTAAATAGGTGATAAAATCTTGTTTTGATAATACCAGAATCATGGAGTGGTTTGGATTAGAGGGGACTCCTTCCACTCTCCCAGGTTTCTCAGGGCAGCATCCAACCTGTACTTAAATGCTTCCAGAGATAAACATCCACCCATAATTATATTTTTTTCAGTTTTTATGGGTTATTTGTTCCCGCCAGGCTGCCACTGGCGTTGCAGAGATGGCTGCTGTGTCATCTTTGTGTCAAAGAGTGGCAAGAGAGAGCCAGGCTATGTTCTACGCTCGTTTGTTCTGCACCCCGTGAGCACTCAGAGTGATTGATAGCCTGACATCATTAATCAGCCTGATAGGAGACTGGGGAAAGACTAACTGAGCTGTTTGAAATGTGAGATCTGCATGTAGCAGACTGGGAAGTTGTGTTTGATCTGTGCATATGGGTTTCTGATTATTTAGCCTTGAAAATCAGACCCTGTGGGTGCCACTTGTGTTACAGAAGACTTGAAGTGATCTGTAAAACCACGTGGCAGCACTGGGAGTCACCAACCTTAATCTTCTCAGAAAATGAAAGTATTTCTGTGCTGTTAATTTATATCTTTTGAATTCCTGTTGCCAGTGAAGCAGCAGTGGTGTAACCAGGCTTTGAGGCGTGGCTGAACACCATCCCAGTATTTCCCACTTTTCCCGAGGCCGTGCAGACCCGGAGGAGCCGCGGGCCAGGTGAGCTGCAGTGCTGGGAGCTGCCCAGCCCCTGCCCCAGCTCGTGTTGCAGGCGTGGCTGCAGTGCCACGTCTGTGTCATTCGGTGGCAGACAGCAACAGGCGATGTCTTCCCTGGTGCTCTGAGCCCTGTGAGCTCTCAGGATTGCTCAACAACCTGACACTTCCTGATGGCTTTTCCTGGTCCTTGGATGGGGAATGGTGAAGGGTGGACAGCACACAGCTGACCCTGTCCTTCAGTCCTTGGTCAGGGACACCTTCCACTATCCCAGGCTGCTCCGTGGATCCAAATCGTGCTGTGTGCACTGCCCCTTGTTGAGGGATGCCAGAAACTGAGCGAGAGCAGCTCTGGGCACGCAGGGATGGTGACCCTGAGGCTTTGCAGTGAGTAACTCTGGCACTGCTAAATGGGAAACCTCATTAAATGGCCTTTACAGGGCCAAAAGTGCCTCAGAGGTGCAAAGTGAACCCTTTAATTGGCAAAAGTCACTGGCTTTGGAAAAGAATGTTAATAAGGTTGTGGGGATGTGGTTATGCTTGAGGATGTGGCTCTTTTATTTGAATTTTGTGACTTTTAACCCTGCAATCTTTGTTTGGGGTTTTTCATCAGGCTTTCCTCACACCGGGGGTCCTGCATGGGCACTGAGTGCTAATGAGTGTCTCTTTAGAGCTTCCCTGTTTGAGGCACAGCAGAACCATGGACATTTTCTTGATGGCATTTGCTGGAACTGCCCTTCCCCAAGCAGCACTCCTGGGCCATGGATATTGCTTTGCTGGCTCTCAGCTGTGGAAAACATCAATGTTTTGCATGAAAGTGATTTTGAGAGAAATTAAAAATCTCTGTGCGCACAAGACAGCCCTTCATCACCAAGGACTGGTTTGTGTCATGGCTTCAAAGGCTGGGATAAGTCCAGATTTTTTTTCCCTGCACTATTAATAGCTTGGCTCTGCACCAGGGTTGGCAAACTCACCTTGGATTTTTAGGGAGTGATGGAATAACCCCAAGCAGGCTCGAGCTATCCTGCTCTTAAATTATCCCTTTCCTAAACTCCCCCAGCCAGATTAATTTCTAAAACCCCTCTGATGTCATGGCAAAGAGTTTCTTCTAAATTTGTGCCATGTCCTTCTGGACTGAAGGAAATCCCTGTGTAAAAGTTTCCTTATAACAGAACCTTAAAAAGTGGTTTCATTTCCTATTTCATCTTTTATTTCCCCTGGGATGTGAAAAATCTTGGGACAATCCCAAGACAATGAGGACAGCAGAGTCTGGATGGCAGGGGTTAATTAGCTTATTAGTACTGACATTATTGCTCCCTTTTCCTGCCTGTTTTTCAACTTTCCTGACATCCTGGGCCTTTTTTTTTATTTGCAGATTATGCCTTGAGCTGCAGAACGTCTGACAAACGTGGCAACTGAGAACTGGTTGGCAGCATCCACATCTGATGGTTTGGAGATTCCTAAAACTTGATCATCTGTGTTTTCTCTACATGGTTATGAAGGATTTAAATAAAAAAAAAACACTAAATAAAGATGCCACCTACAAGACTGAAAGGATTATGCTGTGTATTTGTGGCACCCCAAGTAATGCTATTTTTTAACCATTCTAGGATTTAAGACTTTGTGGATATGAGAATTTAGGATTGTTTTAAAGCATTTAAAGGTTTTACCTCCATCCCCTTGGGCACAGAGGGGATCCAATGAGATCAGATTGTCAGTCTTGGAGTGTCCTGGCTTTTTTTCCATCTCCTGTGGGGAATTTGGAGGAATTAGAGTGTAAAACAGCTTTGCCTTGACTCATTTCTCCTGTATGCCAGTGTGGTTTGTAAACTGCACTCACTTTGTGCTTTTTATTAGTGACAGAATTCCTGGGAGTCAGCAACGGTTCCTGGGAGTGTCCAGGGCCATGGATTAATGGAACAATTGTTGTCACAAGTGTCTTTATTTCAATTAAGCTGTCAGGGCCAGGTCTCTCAGCTACAGGGGCCACCTCTTCATAGATATTTAGAGAGGTTCTGTTATTGAGGGAATGGCTTCCCTCCACTTTTCCAGGTGCTTTAAGACTGCTTTGAGGGAAGGGAACAGCAGGGATTTAGTGGGAGGGAAGGATGAAAATGGCTTTTCTGACGCCCTGAGGAGGGGATTTTGGCAGGGGTGTTGGATTCCTTTGCTAATGGCAGGAGATGGATTTGTCAGGGAGCTGTTGCTATGGGGATGCAGGACAAGGGATGAGGAGCTGGGGTGGCTGCCTGGAGCCTCCCTTGCTGAATTCCAGTGAATTCCAGCTCTGCCTTTCCCTGCCGTGCACCTGAACCTGCACACAGGACCTTGGCAGTGTCAGTGAGGACCCCTTCAAACACAGAATCCTTGGGAGTGCTCAATGTTTCCATGGATAAATCACATTTCAGAGGCAGCTCCTCAGCAGGGAGTGAGCTCTGAGTGCTGGACACAGAGCACTCCTGACACCGAAATGTCCCCAGAGAGAGGTGATGATGAGGATCCTGAAGAACCAACAGAAGGAAAATCCTGATCTTTCTCCCCAGAGGACTCCTAAATTTGCAGCCCTGGTCAGGTGTATTTTTATTTTGTGATTCCCTAAGGAATTGTTGGCAGGAGAAGCAGCACATGCTCCAGCAGCAGGAACACGGCTGTGCTGGGAACAGAGCAACCTTGGGGGAGTTTATCCAGCTCTTCCTCCCTGCCCAGGGTTGTAAGATTGCTGTAATTGAGCATTTCAAGGAAACAGCCACAGTTGGAGCCCTGGGAGAGTAGACACAGCCAAAAAAAAATGTCTGGAGACCTGCTAAAAGCTTTGCCCGGAAATTCATTTTAATAATGAGAGAAGCACTGGATTATTCTGGTATTAACCTTCAACCTCTGCAGGGCAAGCCCAGCTTAGTTTTTGGAGAATTAAACGGAGGGGTTGGCTTATCCCTGCTCGGAGTATGGTGGGCAGTGACACCCGGGGCACACCAAGGCGTCACAGCGGTTCGAGTTTAGCCCTTTGCCTTTAAGCCATCCTTGGCCTCGGCCGCTTCCAGAGCGGACACGTGAGGGAATGGCTTGTGCTGCCAATTCCAGACTGGGGGCAGGAGCAGCTGGGGGAGCCTCTCACAAGCCACGGCATCACTGTCAGGGTCAGGCACTTAAAAACGGAACCAAAGAACCGCCACCATCCTCCACGGTGCACCAGACAGCTGATCTGCTTCCTGTGTGACAGCTGGATCTGATGGCAGCTGACTCAGACACTTAAGGAGAGACTTTTGAATGGGGAAATCTACCTTTTCCTCCTTTTTAGATCACAAACAAGCTGGTACTTAACAGGCTGCTGTTTGGCTATTGATGGACGGGTGTGATTCACGTAAAAGCTGTTTATTTACATCAGAGCCGTTCCTCAAAAGGAGATGTGACAAGTACAGCATGAATGATTCATTCCCATCTCTTTGCTCTGCTTTCCTGCTCATCAAGGAACAGTTTGATGCATCCAGCTGGGCTCTGCTTCCTTTTCCCTTTCCGTGTCTTCTTCCTCCCCCAAGCCTGCTCAGCTCAGCTCCGTGTCCCAGCTCCGCTCCTGCCAACCCATCCCTGATCCTGCTGGGTGGTGGAAGTCATGATGCTTGGTTTTCCATGAAGGAGAAGGGGCTGCAGCTCTGCTGAATTCCCTGTGCAGGGTATGTTTTTCCTGGGTGGGAGAGGATGGAGAAACAGGCCTTCAGCCCTTGGATCTCATGCCAAGCTCAGATTGGAAACGCCAGAGCCGTGCTTCCCCCGTTAGGAATATTTGGTGTTGGAAATCTTCTTCCAGAGCAAGGTCTTGAGGTTGTTGAGCACGAGGGAGTGGTGCACTTCCATCTGGCTGGCCAGGCCACTGAGGGTCATGCAAGTTCGGAGCTGCTTCTGCAGCTCTTCCTTCAGCTCCAGGGGAGCTCCATAGAGCAGATAGTCCTGCAGCAGCCCACACACCTTGGCCAGGTTGGGCTGCACCATGTCACCCTTGCACTGCTTCAGGAGCTTGTCACACGCGGCCGTGCAGTCCCGCCCGTAGGTGCAGTCCCCGTTCTGCTCACAGTGCCGGCCCTTGAGGAATCCTCTGATTGTCATCTCCGTCGCCACCTTCCGCAGGTTGACCATTTTGAAGTCGTACTTGTCGTTGTAGCCCACGTTCCTGAGGCTGCTCTCGCAGATGTAGAAGTTCCCGTAGGTCCCGTGGAAGATTTCCTCCACGAACTCCAGGAGGCCGATGGCGATCTTGGCGCGCCGGGGCCAGGCCGGCGCAAACCACTGGTGGATGAGCTGATGGGCGATGGGAGGCAGCAGGGACTGCAGGAAAGGGGGGATGTCCACCCCATAGAGGGAGGTGTGGGGGATCTTCTCGGTGACATAAAGGTCCCCGCAGTGCCCCAGCAGCTTGGCCGTGTGCTCCTTCTCGTGCAAGGAGAACATGAGGAGGAACTCGTTGAGCTGAAGCAGCGCCCAGATGGATTTGGCCTCTGCCAGGGACACCTTCCTGTCACGGTTCACGTCTGCCATGGTGATGATCCGGCTCACCAAGGCGGGAAGAGATGGCTGATCCCCCAGCTTGGACTGCAAAACCAACAAGAATTGGCATCAGAACCTCACAGCTCTCCGTGTTTGGGTGTCACACCACAAAACCGAACTGGGGGAGCAAAGAACTGAGCTGGGGAGAGGAGGAAACGATGACACTCCAGGAAATCCAGCACCATACCAGGTGTGGGTAGATCCAGCTCCAGCAGAATTTTTCCAGCCTCAGATAAAAGAGTAAAGAGTAAAAAGGTGCTCTAGACTCTCCTGCCAGAGTTGCCACCCCACCACTGCTGCAGGAGCCCCAGCAGGGGTCAGGGCCACCAAATCAGCTCTGCCCAGCACAGATGCCACCCACAGCCACGGCACAGCCACCTCCAGGGATGTTGCTACTGGAATCTCACAGATGAGGATTCATGGCAGGGAATGGAGGTTTTCCTCCACTAATCCAGTGCACGGCACCGGCACCCAGCAGTGGGTGGGGGCCACGGGCAGGAGGAGCTCTCGTTCAAAGGGAAGGAAAAACACCATCGGTGTTTCTGACTCACAGGAGCCATCCCAGGCCTGTAGGATCACACAGGGCCCTGCACTGACCTTCAGGAAGTTGAGGAGCATTTCCTTGAACTCGTCCATCGAGGTCCCCCGCGTGGGTTTGTCGAAGAGCACCACGTCCCTCCTGGGCACAGAGTCCGGGCGGCTGTCGGCCCTCAGGGCTTCCCCAATGCCACATTTGATGATCACCTCCCTGTCCCTCCAGAGCCCTCTGTAAACCTGCAGCACAGGGAGGGGGGCAGCAGGTGGAAGGAGCTGGGTTCTGGTTCAGGATGTGCAGAGGGTTTGATGCTGGTGCCCAGCCCCTGGCATGGCTGGGGGGCACACACCTACCTGCTGGCTGGGGGACGAGGAGAGGCAGTGCTGGAACAGGAGGCTGCGCTCCTCACACAGGTCCTTGCACGTGGAGCCAGAAATGATCCCTTTCTTGTACTGGTCACACTGGGGAGGGCAAGGAGAGAGGAGCTCAGCAGGGACAGATTTCTACTGGCCCTTAGGGATGGCTCAGTGCCCTGAGCATGGTGGGGCTGGGCTGGCAGGGAGCCCTGTGCTGCTGGAGGGACCACAGGGATTTATTCCTGGATGCTGCTGCTGCAAATCCAGGGCTTTGGGAGAACTTGCGGGCTGAAGGAGAGGAGGGCAGCGTGGGGTTGGGTGAGGATGCACAGGCTCAGGGTGCTCAGCAGAGCAGCAGTCCCTGCTGTGAAGCAGGCTGGCCCCAGTCCAGGGGGTGGCAGGGACAGGGACAGACAGTGGCTCTGCTCCACAGCCAAGCTGGGCTGGAGACATCCCTGGGCAGGAGAAGCTGCAGCTCCTCAGCGAGGGCAGCCTCAGGGCTGGAAGCTGGAGCTGCAGACATCCACTGCAACTTTTCCCTTTTTTTTTCTCTGCTGTGGATAGGAATTAACCCTTGGACCTGCTCACAGGGGACATGGCCAGACACGGCGTCTGGAAGCCCCAGCTGCGAGCAGGAATTAGTGCCCAGGACCCCGCGGTCGGAGTCAGGCAGAAAATCAAATTAAACGATCGTCGCTGTTGTTATGGCAATTCCTGCCTCCCTTCTCTGCTGAGGGACTGATCAAGGAGGTTTGTTCTGACACAGCCCAGCTCCCCCTGCTCGCCTGGGCTGGGCTGAGTCCCACGCCAGGCACACACAGCAGTCCTGGGGACATCCTGCCATGGGGAACACGGAAAGTGCATCACCCTGCACACCCAGGACAGGGGCAACACACAGAGCCAGGCTGCCACAAGGGGCTCTGGGGCTCTCCTTAGGGCTCAGCAGCAGTCACAGAGAGGCACCATGGCCTGAGTGCTCCCCCTTCTCCTCCTGCTCTGCAGAGCCCAGAGGGGACTGGTGCAATGCTGTCCCTGCCCACAGATGCTGCTCCCTGCCCTGACATTCCAGCTTCATCTGCACAGACATGGCTCTGCCCACGTCTGCCCTGGCTGCTTCCCTCTGA